GTGCTGGGAACCGGAGCCCGAGGCCGGAGTTCGCCCCATTGGGGTCTAGACGTCGCTGGGGTTCGCCCTGGCCTACGCCGCAGGGCCCTGGCTCTGAAACAGCAGATTGGAGCTGGATTCCCGGGCCCCGGAGGACTTTGCTGCTGGCTCCCTCGGCAGCAAGCAGCAGGCTGTCCCCTGGGGCTGGCGTGTGTGCAGCCCCCAGCCCTGCGCCCGCCAGGCTGGGAACCCGCACGTGCCACGGGCTGGCCCTGTACTTTGCAGAGGCAGTCGGTGCACAGTGCTGCCTCGGTGCTGCCAGGCTGCGTGACACGGGCGGGCGGCGGCCTGCTGGGTGGTTGGAGGCACCGACTCAGAGCAGGCTAGACCTGCGTGGCCAGGGCTCCGGTGACCGGCCCTTTGCCCCCTGCTGCACCCCCGGAGAGGGGAGGAGGCCGTGCTCTGCCCCTGCCCCCGGCCTGCGCGCTCACAGCCCCGCCACCCCGCAGGCTTTGTGCTGCAGTACTCGGTGGACAACAGCGAGGAGTGGAAGGACGTCTTCATCAGCTCCGCCGAGCGCTCCTTCAAGCTGGACAGCCTCAAGTGCGGCACCTGGTACAAGGTGAAGCTGGCCGCCAAGAACAGCGTGGGGGCCGGGCGCATCAGCGAGATCATCGAGGCCAAGACCCACGGCAGAGGTAAAGCAGCCGGCCCGCCCAGTCGCAGGGGGCTGCGTGGAGGCCTCCGGCCCCCACACTGGTTCCCCTCTTTCATGCATTCGGGGGCGAGGAGGGGAGGGGCTGTCCCTCACTCAGCATGTCTGCAAGCCGGGCGCGTCCCCCCAGGCCGCCGCTGGAGGGAGGATCTAGGACACTGGGCGAGCCCTCCCGGAGCTAGTTCTAGCCTGTCGGGGGGGGGGGGCGCGCAGGGCAACGCTGTTCCCGAGCAGCTGGCCAGCCCCGGGGCATCCTGGACCAGCTGCCACTCGGCCGAGCCCTGAGGCAACTTGCTCTGTCTTGTTCCGTGCCATTGGCTGGGGCCTCACGAGCCTGGTGCAGACACTCCCCAGCTGCACTGCTTTTCCCGTCCGGGGCTCACATTAATCTCCCTCCTGTGGGGTCAGGCGCGGGTGATTTTACCCTCCCCCCATCCCAATGTACTTCCATGCACCCAGTGGGCGGTGCTGGGCCATGGTTAGGTGGTCAGAGAGTGCCCCATAAGGCCAGTGCTACCTTATTGCAAGGGCGGGCAGAGCAGGAGCCTCAGGAAAACTCCTGCCCCAGTCTGGTTGCAGAGCTATTGGGCTTTGTAGGGTTGCTGCAGGGGCCGCCCAGTGACCCCTCTGTGCGGCCATCAGAGCTCTAGTCTTGGCTGAAATGAGCAACTCTGGGGAGGGCATTTAGCATCTTCCCCCGGAGCATGCGGTGCAAAGCAAAGTCAGCGTATCGGCCTCGCACCCTTGACCAGAGTCCTAATCGCAGTGGGTCCTGGCTGCCGGCTGCCGAGCGTATTGCTGGCTGTGGCCGACGGTCAGCGAACTCAGTCCTCTTCGGCTAAGATGCTGTCGCAACAGGCGGTGACAGAAGTACCGCGTGAGGGACAACCGCTCCCGCAGTCTCAAGTGGCTATCTCCGTGTTCCACGAACGCTGCCCTTCCGCGTAGCCCTGTCTGAGCCATGCACCAGAGCGCTGGACGCCAACGTTTTCAACTCTTTTAAACCTGAGTGTGAGAGATTGGGGAGTGCGGCTTTCGTCCTGCCGGCTCCCGAGCCCTGTCCCCCGATGTCCAGAGGCTCTTTCCTTGACCCCCGTCTTAGAGCATTGTCACATTAGCGGCAATAGAGCTGGCTCCCCCGCTGCCCGGGCGGTGGCCTCGGCTGTTGTATGTTATGGCCGTATGTATGCCGGGTGGGAAGCTGCCCCCTCAGGCCCTCACGGCAAGTCCTTCTCCACAGAGCCCTCCTTCAGCAAGGACCAGCACCTCTTCACCCACATTAACTCCACGCACGCCAGGCTGAACCTGCAGGGCTGGAACAGCGGGGGCTGCCCCATCACGGCCATCGTGCTGGAGTACCGGCCCAAGGGCAACTGGGCCTGGCAGAGCCTCCGGACCAACAGCTCCAGCGAGCTCTTCCTGACGGAGCTGCGCGAGGCCACCTGGTACGAGCTGCGGATGAAGGCCTGCAACAGCGCCGGCTGCGGCAACGAGACCGCCCAGTTTGCCACGCTGGACTACGACGGCACTGCCCCATCACGGCCATCGTGCTGGAGTACCGGCCCAAGGGCAACTGGGCCTGGCAGAGCCTCCGGACCAACAGCTCCAGCGAGCTCTTCCTGACGGAGCTGCGCGAGGCCACCTGGTACGAGCTGCGGATGAAGGCCTGCAACAGCGCCGGCTGCGGCAACGAGACCGCCCAGTTTGCCACGCTGGACTACGACGGCAGTAAGGCGGGGTTGTGTGGAGGGCTTGTCTCTTGCCCAGCATTGGACTGCTCCCTGGGGCCCAGCATCCAAAATCTGCTGCTTCCATCGTGACGTCCACCCGGCCTCCCGCACTTCCTAGCTCCCACTCATCATCCACAGCCCTGAGCCTTCCTCTGCCCCTCACGCTCCCCTCCCCCAGCGAGGGGTACCTGGCCCCGAGCTGGGAGAGGAACACGAGCCGTGCAGGAGGGAAGAGACAAGCTGCACCGAGCGCTCGTCTCTCACCGCAATAAAAGACATGACCCCCCCCGCCCTCTGAGGCCGCTCTGCTGCTGGGAGAAGCTGTTGTCTGCTGCCCGCCCGGCCTGGCTCAACTCGCATGGGGTTCCGGAGCTGGGGCGCATGTCTTACCGTGTCGTGCGTGCGGCTCTGTCCTAGGCACCATCCCCCCAATCAAATCTGCCCAGGGGGAGGGGGACGACGTGAAGAAGCTGTTCACTATCGCCTGCCCCGTGATCCTGGCCACGCTTGGGGTGGCGCTGCTCTTCATCATCCGCAAGAAGAGGAAGGAGAAGCGACTGAAGAGGCTGAGAGGTGAGGCTGGACCCGGCCTGCCCCGGTGGGAGGGGAGTTAGCCGCCCCTGCCTTAGAGGAAGACTCTGTGCGAGTCTGTCTCCTCCATCGTGGGGTGCCAGGGAAGCAGGGCAGGGCTGAGACTCTGGCTGGTGGCTGGGTGAAAAGCCGGGTTCCTGCCCGGGGCCCAGAAACGAGAGAGCAGACGTCACGCGCGCCGACGGCCAAGCTCCTGCCCTGTGGAATGGAGGGAAGGAGCCTTCCACAGCAGCGTCCGCTCTCGGGGTGCCAGAAGCTGCTCCAGCCCTGCTGTGCTGTGCGGCTGGTGGCGTGGACCCCGGGGCATTTTAAATCAGCCAGGGGCAGCTGGCGGGGGCGAGCACACAGAGACCCCCTGTGTATTGGTGCACACCAGAGTCATAGCCGGGTGGGAGGAAGGACCCTCGCTAACAGACAGGCCGAGTCAGCAAGGTGGGGTCACGGGAGATGCCCCCATTGTGTTAATATTTGCTGGGGGAGGGGGAGAGGCGATTACTTTTCCCCAGCCTTCGAGTGTCATGTCTCGCTGCCGTTCTCCTGGAAGGCGCTGTGTGGTTTGATCAACACCTCTGGGCTTTAGCGGGTTTGACCCTGGCCGGCCGTGTTCCCAGCTGGCCTTTGTAACTCATCCCAGCAGCTCGGCTTGTGAAAGCACACCCAGTATTTGGGCAGGTTTCCCTGTGCTGCTCTGAGGTGCTGGGAACAGGCATCTGGTGGCTGTGTGGGCTGCCGTTCTCCTGGAAGGCGCTGTGTGGTTTGATCAACACCTCTGGGCTTTAGCGGGTTTGACCCTGGCCGGCCGTGTTCCCAGCTGGCCTTTGTAACTCATCCCAGCAGCTCGGCTTGTGAAAGCACACCCAGTATTTGGGCAGGTTTCCCTGTGCTGCTCTGAGGTGCTGGGAACAGGCATCTGGTGGCTGTGTGGGGTGATGGCATCTGACAGCAGACTCTGTAAGCTGCCCTGCCGGGACAGTGCCGGGGGTGGGGGAAGTAGACGCAGGACAAGGCCCGCCCGACCTCTCCGCAGCACTAAGCTCCATGCTCTGCTACATGCCAGTGCTCGCTGAGACCCTGGGTTGTGCTGCTCTTTCATCATTAACTCAGCAGGGCAGGATTTGGGTTGGATGGGCGAGGCCAAGAGCTTCATTGATTTTTTTAATAGTAAACTAGTGTGTTCAGACAGAACTAGCCGTGCCCTGGCCTCGTGCAATAGTTGGAGGGAGCTTGAGGGCAGGACGGCGTGACCGTACACACCTTGCACTAGGTGACTGCCGGCCCTGTCTGTGCGCATGTCGTGTCCCGCCCCGCTTGGCGTACACAGAGCGCTGTTCCAAAACCTGGCTTCCGCCGACCCCACACATCAGTCTGCAGTGGGAACAGAGACTCTTCCGGCTCTTCATGGCTCGCTTACAAACATCTCTCTTCTGTTGCAGATGCAAAGAGCTTGGCAGAAATGCTGATCAGGTGGGTGCACTGGGCCTCGTTTCCTCCTGTAACAGCCCGTCTCGCTTGCTGACGTTCCCCACCAGGATTCCCCTGGGGGTGTCTGCACCTGCTGCAGTGTAGACAGACCTGCAGTGACCAGGGGTCTGCCTGTCCCTTTCTCATGCTGCGTGAACGCCGGGCAGCCAGGAGCTTTTCTCAAGGCTAGTGCTGGCCGCCTGCTTGGACAGCAGTCGCGTATTGCATGGGAAGGGGCCCTGTGGAGCGCGGGGTGTTGGAATCCCTCGCTGGCGCGGCCCCAGCGTTGACCTTGCAGGCAGGACACTGCCGGGGGAGGAAGAGGGGATAGACCTGGTGCCCTGACAGGCTTGGCTCCCCTCACAGTCCTGCCTGCTCAGTGGGGGATGAGAGCAGGCGGGACTGCAGGGACTAGACCCAGGTGATCGCGGAGCGTGGGAGAGACCCGGTTCTACCCCCTGCGCGGCGATCCGAGGGCTTCACGCCACTGCCAGTCCCAGTGGTGGCAGCAGTGTGGTGCCTCGCCGTCTGCTCGAGTTGGAACACGGCCGAGCCATTTCCCTCCTCGGCCCTATTGCTAGGTACCCCAGCCCCAGTCGGCTCGTCGGCCGGGGCGCGGGGACGGCGTCTCAGCGAAGGGGAGGCGCTGCTGGCCCCACTGGCTTCTCCTTCCCCTGCAGCAAGAATAACCGGAGCTTTGACACCCCTGTGAAAGGGCCCCCCCAAGGCCCCCGGCTGCACATCGACATTCCCCGCGTGCAGCTGCTCATCGAGGACAAGGAGGGCATCAAACAGCTGGGTGAGCAAGGCTCTCACCTGGGATCGAATGGCAGGCGCCCATCCCCTGGCCCTGCCCACGCTGCACCTTCCCACTGGTCCCTCGGGATCCGGCCCATCTCTGGTGGGCGCGTTACTCGCTGGGATGCGCTCTGGCCCTGCACCGGGATGAGGGCAGCCACAGCCGGCACTGGGAGCTGGGCCAGGGGCTGCTGTAGGG